TATGGGTTTTGTTTGATTTTGGTGGGGTATGCCCCTTGATTGTGCATGTAATATTGGCTCTTTATATATATATATTTACAGTTCATTGAATAACAAAATTGATGTTCTCTTTAATTGTGAATTCTTAAAGCAGCATTTTGAGAAATACTTTCAACCCGACATCAATTTCGTAAATATTTTTTATTAATAGGGAAAATGGACAAATAAGCCCTCGAACTAACTGAAAAAGTGCAAATCACCTCTTTTACAGGAGGCTCTGTCTGGCCATCGCCATCGGAGGCGGTTCCCAGTGGAATTGTTTGATGAAATTTTTTGAGCATCTTCTTCATTAAGTCTAGTTTATCCATACCAAATTTAAGCTAAAAATTCAATTGTGAAGGCAGTGAAATAAATGTTTGAAGATAACTGCGCAGTTAAACAACGTAGTATATTTCAGAAAATCATTTGACTGGCTTCCCGGTTGAATTTTTACCTGCAATTTGGTATGGGTAAACTAGACTTAATGAAAAAGATGTTCAAAAAACTTTCATCAAAAAATTCCACCTGTAATCGCCCTAAATAGCGACGGCCAGACAGAGGCTCTTATAAAAGGGGTGATTTACACTTTTTTGGTTAGTTCAAGGGCTTATTTGCACCTTTACCCTTAATATTATTTTGAATAAAAACTTTTTTTTTAGATTTATGAATAAGTAAAAAACATAAAACTAGTGCACTCATGCAGATTTAGGGTGAAGAATTTTTTTGACTAAATCTCAACTGCAGCTTTCTTTCTTTCTTTTGGTGGGAGCCTTTGTGACACTGGGGCAATGGTGTTGATTAGGGGTGAGTTTGGTTCAAAATGGTTCCATTTTCACCTAAAACCAAATGTCAAACCCAAGTAAAAAGTTTGGTTCGGTTTCATATCCATGTTCGAAAATTTGGAACCACGGTTTGTTCGGTTCGGTTTATTTCAATTTGGTTTCGTTTTTTTTTTGTTTTTACCAACATATTTTTTTGATTTGAGAAATAGTAATTGGAAAACAAAAATAAAAAAATAAACTACATCAAACTTTATAAATAATAATACAATACAAAAACGTACATACTTAAAAAAGAGAGAAAAACAAAATGCACTTTCAAGCAATGAATTAGAGAGTACTGTATATCAATTTAAATATTTTCCAAATTAATAAAACACATGAGTTTATTTACAATGTATTCGCAAGTTAAATTTCATTAGTAAATAATTTATTCTACTTTCTTTTTAGAAAAATATATGTATTCTACTTTGTTTAAAGTATAGTTTATATTTATACATATTTGTTCAATATAAAAAATATTGTGATAACAAACATCCATAACATATACTCCGTAATATATCAACAAAATATCATTGTCATGCAACAACAAGCAAAATGTAAATTACGGTTTTCAGCATATTAGTATTATAGCAATCGAGTTAAGTGTATGTATGTACAAGTGTTTCACTTAATTAAACCATAAATATTAAATGTCAATATCTTGCAAATCATAATAAATATAGTATTAAACATTAATTTTCTAGAATTAAAAATTAAGAACCAACCAAAATATTATACTTAATGATCTGCTTAATAAATAAAATTTACAAGTTTTAAGAAGTTCGGTTTAATTTATTCGCTTTGGTTCGGTTTTGAGATGTGAAAAACAAAACCGAAACCAAACAACTATGGTTCAGTTCGGTATTTTGAGTTTGATTTCGGTTTTCTTGCGGTTCGTTTGTTTTTTGTTGCAGTTCGAGTTTTTTGGATTCGATTTTCAGTTTCTCTGATCCACCCCTAGTGATGATGATGATATTCAATACTGGTGAAATATAAAAGATAAAGAAAGTTATGAAGTTTGATATATTTTTATAACAATCATAGTGTAAATAAAAAATATCATGTGGGACCCATGACTATTGCTCTTCTCTATTGCTTGCTCTTGGTACGCCGTCCTTTTTTTGCGTAACTCGTCAATTGGATTTTCATTCTCCTCGGATGAAAAAAAGTAAGGGATACTACTTCTGTTCTGGTGGACCTACCAAATTCAAAGTAGTTGAAAAATAAGAAAAGTAAAAATTGTGTGGTTGAGGTTTGTGTAGAGGATAGACAATTGAATAAAACCACAAATTAGTTGCTTTAATTGGAAAATGACAATTTTTTTTGGGACAACCGAAAAGAGAAAGTTGAAAAAAAAGCTTTCACAGAAAAAAAAAAAGCTTTCACAGACATAGGTGTGTACAAAAGTGTGTATAAGAGTGTGTACAAACATCATTTTTGATATGAATATTGATAATGGCTGCAGGTATTGTCATGAACAATTGAAAACTATTGAACACCTCTTTTTCAATTGTAGTGTTACCGGTATGGTATGGAGCAGGGCCGTAGATGAGGCTGTGCAAGATGGGCTACTGCACAGGGCCTCCAAAAATAGCAGGCCCTTTTTTAAAAAAATAAATGAATATTATATATATATATATAAAGTAGAGAAATATTCGTGTCCGGAATTCCGGACCAGAACCATCATCCGGACGGTGGTGTTTCAGCGTCTTCCCGGTTGACTTTTTTGATGAAAGTTTTATGGTATGTTCTTCATCAAATCTTGTTTATCCAAGAAAAAATTTAGCTAAATATTCAATCGGGAAGGTCGTCAAATAATTTTTGGAAGTTAATTGCATTTTATATGTATATGCCGGCGCATTTATCTTTCAAAAATCATATGACGGCCTTACCGATTGACTTTTTAGCTGAACCTTTTTGTGGATAAACTAGACTTGATGAAGAACATGCCATAAAAATTTCATAAAAAATTTTCACAGGGAAGGACCCCAAATGCTGCCATCTGGACGGCGGTTCCGGTCATGAATTCTTGACCGGAAGAGTACTCTATACAGTAATTGTTTAAATTATTAATAGGAGTCCATTTGCATTTTTGAAACACCTTTATACATTGAATGGCCCACCTCAAAATAAAAGCAAACCATACGTCTACACGTTAGATCTATGCATTTTATTTAATAAAAGGCTTCATTTGTGATTGGCACTGAGTCTCTAAATGTGTCAAGCCGGCCCTGGTATGGAGAGACATTTGTGCATGGATTGATGTGAAAAAGACATGGGTCTACTCTACCTTACTACCTAATGTGGTTAATACTTAAATATTGCAAAAAAGATTTTGGAGGAGCTCTGTTAAAAAGTAAGACCGTAAGATTGGCTTTTTGTGCTACCATTCAAACTTTTGGGAAGAACAGAAATGAAAATATCTTCCAAGGAAGTCCAGTGACTTACCCTTATGCAGATTAAGCTTTCTACGAGGGGCGGCTCTGTATATTTGAAGGCCTGTGGGCGAATAATTTAAAATGGGCCTATTTTAAAAAAAGTATAAAACTCGATTTCGTCTAAATTAACATGTAAAATAATGATATTAGAAAAACTTTATAATAAAGATAATACTTGAATTCATTATATTAAGAGTAAAATATATAAATGGTCCTTGATCTAGCATCACTATATCGATTTGGTCCTCGAACTATTAAATCTATCATTTTAGTCCTTAATCTTTTTCATCCGTATTAATCGAGTCCTTCCGTTAAATTCTCAGTTAACTTTGACGGAAGCTAATTAATTTATTAACATCTCATAATTTTAAACATTTTGGAACAATACAATCATTCTTGGGCATTTGGAATGTTGGGCCGTACAAAAGTAGCAGTTTAACTCTAAAAACTCAGCCTACTCAAACCTAATATAAAGAAAAATTTACGGACCTAATTTTTTTTCACTTTTTTTTGGGCCTATGTACCCTGCCCCTTGCCCCCCAGGGCCGCCCCTGCTATCTACTTATAAAATCTTATATAGACATTACCCTTCGGTGATGATTGATTTTTGGATCTTTATTTTACTTCTAGAAACGAGTTTTTTTTTATAATCCAGGTATCGAGGCTTGCGCTCTCATAATCCTGGAGTCTATAAACTACCATTCAAAGCTCCCAGACAGTTAAATCTGGATCTGATCACAGTCAACCTTGTTAGTAATGGTTCCAAAGGACGAATCCAACAGGACTTACATCAACTTTCAGGCTGCTCCTCCCACCACATGAACCCGCTACCTTCATTATCATCCCCTCCCTTCTCAGCCGCTGAGCAACTTCGTGAAGATAGAAAGAATCATTGGGAGCAAGACCTCCCTCATCTCCCCCTTTGTCTATGGTGTTTGGATCTGTTTGTCTTGTTTAATATGCCAAATATGGCTTGTTTGATTGTTTTGATCGAGTGACACTGATAATTCTTGGTTTTGTTTGATTTTGCTGGGGTATGCGCCTCTGATTGTGCATGTAATATTGGCTCTTTATATATATATTTATGGTTCATTAGTTCATTGAATAACAAAATTGATGTTCTCTTTAACTGTGAATTCTTAAAGCAGCATTTTGAGAAATACTTTCAACCCGACATCAATTTCGTAAATATTTTTTATTAATAGGGAAAATGAGCAAATAAGCCCTCAAACTAACCGAAAAAGTGCAAATCACCCCTTTTACATGAGGCTCTGTCTGGCCATCGTCATTGGAGGCGGTTCGCAGTGGAATTGTTTGATGAATTTTTTTGAGCATCTTCTTCATTAAGTCTAGTTTATCCATACCAAATTTAAGCTAAAAATTCAATCGTGAAGGCAGTCAAATAAATGTTTGAAGATAACTGTGCAGTTAAACAACGCAGTATATTTCAGAAAATCATTTGACTGGCTTACCGGTTGAATTTTTACCTGAAATTTGATATGGGTAAACTAGACTTAATGAAAAAAATGTTCAAAAAACTTTCATCAAAAAATTCCACCAGTAATCGCCCCAAATAGTGACGACCAGACAGAAGCTCTTATAAAAGGGGTGATTTGCACTTTTTTGATTAGTTCAAGAGCTTATTTGCACCTTTAACCTTAATATTATTTTGAGTAAAAACTGTTTTTTAGATTTATGAATAAGTAAAAAACAGAAAACTAGTGCACTCATGCAGATTTAGGGTGAAGAATTTTTTTGACTAAATCTCAACTGGGGCTTTCTTGCTTTCTTTCTTTCTTTCTTTCTTTCTTTACAAGGCATCCAATCCGTATGTTCTCATTTCCTTCAAGCTTTCTCTATTAGTCTAAAACCCCAATGGATTTTAGCTGATCTTCCTCCATTCATCTACTGTCTCGAGCTCCAACCTTTCTATTCTGAACTGTAATGTATTCGTAATCTCGTTTGTTGTGCTGAATTACTGGGATATTTTTTCACTCTTTCAGCACCTTATTTTAGATTTAGGTTAATAAATAATAATTTGATTCTCTATTTCTTCATTACTTTCTATTTGCAACCATTTTGCAGATTGTGTGGAATTCCATATAGCATGTCAAGAATTATTCTTTCCTTCGCTTGTTTGTTTCGAGTTGATTGACCTTGTAGTCGAAAGACAATACTTGGCATATTATATGCAAGCTTAACACGCAATTGCAATGGCTGCAATTAAGTTTTCGAGATTGACAAGATCACTCAACCCAACTTTACATGTCAGATCCTCAATTGGTTGTCTAAGTCGTAATTACCATGTTGCCCAGTCACATTCTACTCAGGATCATTTGGATTCTAATAGGCAATGCATTCGTGGCTCATATTTAAGCAGACCATTACTGAACAGTTACCCTTTGAGAAGTGTATCCTTAGTTGGAATTAACCCTATCTGGAGTGTTCGGTTGTATTCATCATCTGTGGGCAGTCAAGGGACTCCTCCTGTTGGCTCAGGTTCTGCCATTTCTGGAGCCAGTATGGGTTCAGGTGGATCTGACGGCAGTGAGTGGATTTTGAAGGCAAAGGAAGCTTTCCAAAGTCTAGGAAATGCCATGAGTTATACAGGAGAAAAGGCGAGGGAGGCTTCTACTGACTTAACCCCTTACATTCAGCAAATTGTTGATGCAAATCCTTACCTGAGAGATGTTATTGCTCCTGTTAGTGGCACTTTGGTGTGTACTTTACTGGCTTGGTTGGTAATGCCGAGGTTTCTGAGGAGATTTCATAACATCTCAACAGAGGGACCTGCTACGTTGTTCTCTGAGACCTCACTATTGAAACCTGTACCTTATGAAAAAAGCATATGGAGTGCTTTGGAGGATCCCATTCGCTATCTGATCACTTTTATGGCATTTACCCAAATGTTAGTAGAATGATATATGTCAGTTCAGTTCAAATCACTATTCTAAGTGTCAATTGTGTGATTAATTAGTTTGAAGTTCTGTTTGTGCAGTGCAGCTATGGTGGCACCAACCAGCGTTGCATCACAATACATTCTACCCGCTTGGAAGAGTGCCACAATTCTTTCGTCAGTTTGGTTTCTACAGAGATGGAAAACAAATGTGATCAGTAGATCCTTAGCTTTGAAGAGCTTTGAAGCAGGTGATAGAGACAGGTTGTTGACACTGGAGAAAGTGTCTTCTGTTGGTTTATTTGCCATTGGATTGATGGGTTTAGCTGAGGCATGTGGGGTACCAGTGCAATCTATTCTGACTGTGGGTGGTGTAGGAGGTGAGCTTCATAAAACGAGTCCTCTTTAAAAATCTTTTCATTTCTTATAACTTCTTGAAATCACGTGCTAAATTAATTTGTTCATAAATATTCCAACTTTTAACTTTTTCAATATATATCTGTCAATTGGTATGTAGGAGTGGCTACTGCTTTTGCTGCTCGAGATGTCATTGGAAATGTTCTAAGTGGACTTTCATTACAGTTTTCACGACCCTTTTCTATTGGAGATACAATAAAAGTATGCTCTGAATTTGCTCCCTTTAAATTCTGAATTATGAGCTTTTTTCTGATCCCATTGCATTTCATTTTTCATCATATAGATTATAATTTGTTATGGCAAATTAATTTTGTGTCCTTGTCTGGTTCATTTTTTTTCATCAGAAAATTTGAAATGATTTATCAAGTTTATTCTTCACCTCTTGTGATCTCGCACTAAAGTTAACCAAGCATGCATGATTGAATATGACCAATAGGTTTGTTTATATACCGCTCACCTTTAAAATGCAAATTTGTTTAAATGTTATGAGAAACTGAGAAAGTGAAGTCAGGGTATTGATAATTTTGATGGAACCTAAAGCTAGCATGGTTGTATGAGCCAATACCGCAAAAAGCTTCTTTGATATATAAATTCTTACTAGAAATTGGGAATGTTTAGGAGAACGCCAAAGACCTGAGCTATGCATTTTTACCGATTCTGGATTTTGCTTATTAGGTGAATTGGCTTCTTTGAATGCTTAGAGAGTGAGGTGGTATTAGTAGTTCTCAAAGGTTTAGGAGTTCTGTGGTGTCTGTGTATGCAAATATAATACTTATCAAAATGAAAGCAGCTACTAATTGAGTGAAGTGTTTCCCATATCTTTTCGCATCAATTCTTGCACAGTATATCATCATTGTAATAATTTCATTTGCATGAGCAGGCTGGATCTGTGGAAGGTCAAGTTGTAGAGATGGGGCTGACAGCAACATCCTTGTTGACCGCCGAGAAGTTCCCAGTTATTGTTCCAAATTCCTTGTTTACTAGCCAGGTATGTATATTTTCCTTGTCATCAGTCATACACTTGGTGTCTGCTTGGATGAATTTTTTGGAAAAGGAGGTTTTGGAAGGGCACAGTCTATATCTTGATATATATATATTTGAGGTTTTATAACATATTATATGAAAGAATAACATTTCAATCACTTTTTATTTGTTTTTCGAAACACTATTTATCATGATATAGACTAAGCTCTCCAAAATTGTTCATGCACTGAAACAGACGTATTGAAGTGATTATGGTAAAAGTTGTATTACTAAATGAACAACTATATTTATAATGTAAATAATAAAGATAATGCATATGAGTTTCTATAGGATAAAAATCCTTACACTTGGAAACAGAATCACAATGTAATTATGGAAGGAAATAACGATTGACAAGGAAAAAAGATAACAAAATATATTACGATAGTATATTCTTAATACTGATCAGGATGATCAAAGTGATGACATGAAGGGAAGTTTATGAGCTATTTCTTAGGGTTTGTGGGGTGTGAGTAGGTAATTGTGAATAAATCACGGGCTCAATGGCGGGCCTTGGTGAGGACAGTTCCTATGCAAATGGATGACTTTGAGAAGATCCCACAAATATCAGAAGACATCAAGAACATGCTGAAGTCATATCCCAATGTCTTCTTGGAAAAGGAGGCACCCTATTGTTTCTTGTCCAAACTGGAAAGGACATATGCAGAACTGACTCTAGGCTGCAATCTTAAACAAATGGTATGTGGTCCTCACATTTGCATCTATCCTTAAGTAAAGAAATTGCCCATGTCGTATATGTTCCATGCGAGGTAGGCCTAACGAATACTTTCCATGTGGTTTGCATTCATTCAGAGCAAAGAGAAAATGTTTGCAACAGAGCAGGAAGTTCTTCTGCAAGCCGCCCGTATCATCAAGCAACACGGAGCTACTCTTGCTAATCCTTCACTCGACTTATAGAGAAAATTTACTTCATACTTGAGGTCTGTTTTTCACATGTATGACATTATGTTTTGATACAAATTAAGTTACAAGCCAAGCACAGGGTGTGGCCTAGGAACCTCATTAGATGAAAGTTGGTGATTAGCAAGTTGTTATTAGCATCAGCATCAGTCGCGCTGACCGTCTGTAACTTATATGCATAGCGAAATGCACAATAGTTCTTCTATTTTATTTTATACTTTGACAAGGATGAGTGTCGAACTCGGAGCGAAGTGATGGCGCATTGGAGTTAGGATCAACATCCCCCACCCCACCCAAGAGCACCATGGATGTGGCATCCTGAGATTTGTAGGGCATCACTAAACCTATTTTGGGTATGTAATGTACTCCGTAATCATCTAATGGGGCCATAAACATAGATTTCCTGAGTATTAATAATAACAACTTAATATGATAAGAAAAGAATAGCGTGCAATGTGGTTTTGTGAATAAGGCCGGCCGGGAGGTCCCATCCCCACTAATGACACTGTTCGAAGGCCCAATAACTAATGTGGAATAACTGGATCACTATTTATTTATTTTCTATAGCTCCACAGTCCACAGTTCCACACCAAACAAAATCATGATTCTTCCAATTTGTTTGCATACTTTCAAACTCTACGGCGTGACCTTTTTTAATTTCATTGTTTAAAATTATTTTTTTGCTTGTACTATTGATTAAAATATATTTACACTGAGAATAATTCTTAAATATCTACACGTGAATCTCGTCATCATTGATAAATAATGCCCGTGCAATAAGTTAGCTACAAATAGGCTTATAGCCTTATAGGCCACTACAATGGATGGATGAGAATACTATGATTAATGTTAACTTCTTAGTCGTGATGAAATCGATAATGATGTCGCAACTATGGCAAATATAAGACGATATTTGGTGTAGGGGTGAACCAAACCGGACAGTCCGGGTCAGGTCCGGTTCATTTTTTTTTGTTTTTTCAATTTTTTTCCCTTAGGTAGGGCCGCAGGGCTGGATGTTTTGGGGAGGTTTGAGGGAGGGGGGTCAGGGGTTAATTAGAAAGCAAAAAAAAAAATTATACGGAGTACATTGGACCGGCCCGGACCAGGCCCGGACCCGGTCCATTGCCTAACTTGGTGTGCAAAAAATTATCCCTGTGCTCGGAGATGCCGTAAAGTTTATATTTGGCGGAATAAAATGTACACATGATTTATACACTTGTCATTTATAAAAAATTTAGATTAGACTTTATTTACAATTGTGATGTTTTGACTTGGATTGTTTCAGCTTTATAAACAGATCAAACTCGATTTAAACAGATCAAATTATATTTAAATAATTATAAAATGCAAATGTATTCAACCAGACTTAAACAATTCAAATCGTATCAGAGAATATGAATCAAAATGAGAACATTTTAAATCATATTCAAACTAGGGGTGGATTCGGTTCGGGCCACCCGGCCCGTGACCCGGTCCGGCCCGGTACTGTGCGGGCCCGGGACCGGCCCGGTCGGGCGGTCCGGGACCGGGTATGGACCCGAACCGGTGGGAATGGGCGGGGCGGGCTCGGTGCTGGATTAATGTGACCCGGCCCGGCCGGGTCGGGCCCGGGCCCGGGTCCGGTCTTAAGATTTAAAAAAAAAATTGGTTCTTGAGCTACTAGGCGTTGGGGGTGGGGCTGGGGACAACCCAAATGGCTATATAGCCGTTGGGTGGGGTAAAGGGGGGGGGGTCCGGGGGGGTTGGGTGGTGGGGGGGGTGGTGGTGGGGGGTGGGGGGTAAAAAAACCTATAAATACTCCTAATCTTAAACATTTTTTCATATCTCTTCTCCAATTCTTCCTAAATCCTATTCTTAACTCTCTACTCTCTAATTCTCTTATTCTCCAATATATTATATTTATTATTTATATATCTACTTTATAGTTTATACTTAAGAAGTTAAGATGGAAAATCAAGATGCCATTATACGGTATAATTTTGATAAGCAGAAGGACCCGAAGACCGGGATGTGGTACGCAATTTGCAAATGGTGCGAGAAAAAATGTAGCATGGGGGTTTCAGGCGGATTCGGGATGGCAATCAAGCATATGAAGTCATGTGACAAAGCCAAAGGATCGGGAGGTGCGGGAAGTTCCGATTGATTACAATTTTCAAAATGTTTATCTCTTAAAGTTTGTTTTAATTTTCAAATGTATTTCCTATTTCATTTCAAATAAATGCAATTGAAGTTTGTTTTTAATACTCGTATAAAACTATAAACTATAAAATATAAATTATAAAAAAAAATTAACCGGCCCGGCCCGAACCGGACCCGACCCGTGACCCGGGCGGGTGGCCCGGCCCGAACCGGACCCGTCCAACCCTCGGGCCGGTCCCGGGCCCATGTCATACAACCCGGCGGCCCGACCGGGCCTAGGCCCGGCCCGAGTCCATCAATAATTCAAACCGTCCAAAGACTCCAAACAAATAGGTGAACCAAATGTGATTATGTTCAACTTTGACTATATAGGAAAGTAGGGATGTTTGTCGGTTTGATTTGGTCGGTTTCGGTTTTAGAAAAGGTGAAACCGTAAACTGAACCACACTACTTGAGTCGGTTTCGGTTCGGTTTCGATTCGGTTAATTTCGGCCAGTTTGTGTTGGTTTCGGTCGGTTTTAGCATGTTTTGTCGGTTTTTGTCGGTCGATTTCGGTTCGGTTGGTTTTTTAACCCAAAAGGTGAAACCATAAACCGAACCGCCAATGATTAATCGGTTTGAGTCGATTTCGATTTGAGTCGGTTTCGGTTTCGGTTTCGGTCGGTTCGGTTTCGGTCGATTTGTCGGTCGGTTTCGGTTTTTTTGGTTTTTTTGTTCACCCCTATAGGAAAGTGATTAAAATGAACATTGGAAAAGATACAATTTTCCTTGCCGTCCCCTTTCTCCCACAATACAATTTGATAGGCCACAAAAATATTCTTTTCGTTCCTCTAGAATTTTCCTTGCATTCCACAATCCACGTAAGAGAGTTTATTACTCGGCAGTTTTCCTCCGGTCCCGCTATTTATTTATTTCTCCTTTTCTTTAGAACAAAAAAAAAGCATAATAAATAATTGATGGCCCGTGAATGCAGTGGCGTCGTCAGAGACGTCAAATTGTGTCAAGAGAGAAAAGGTTCACGAGAGTGAATAACAACAGCAGTCATAAACCTTTCAGCCACCCTCTTGCTGTCCATTTAAAATGTTCATAAAACGTGACTATACATTGCAACTAACTCAGTTACTTAGTACTATCTCCGTTCCGGTAGATTTTGAATTTTTCAAGTACAAAGTATATGAAAAATGAGAATAGTAAATTTGTGCGGTTAAGATTTATGCAGAGGAGAGAGAAATTTGCAAAATCACAAATTAATTATTTTAATAGAAAAATGACAAAGTTTTTGGGACAATTAAAAACGAAAGTTGACAAAGTTCAACTTATACATCTTCAGGGAGATTTACCTTAGTCTTATACGGAGTAAAACTCATCTATTTATTTTAAGAAAATTTTGATTTTACACCCCACTTTGAGTAATATTTGACTCTAGACCCGATTTTCAAAATCATTAATGTATGCATCTCATTTCACTATAAAATATCTGACTTTACACTCGTCCTTCAAAAATTTTAGCTGATGAAGTACAAATATTAGTAATTTTGAAAATTGAGTGCAAAGTCCAATATAGCCCAAAACATGGGATGCAAAGTCAAAGTGTCCCTTATTTTTAACTTGGATATCATATATAGCCAATTTGATATCTTTTGAAAGAGTTTTTTTACTTTTAGTTCTCTGATTTTTTGTAACCAAATTTGATTTCTTTTAATCTGTCACGTGTTATGGCAAAACACTTTTGATCTTCGACTTTGAAATTTTATATATTTTTGTTATCTGACTATTATAAAAGTGACACTTTTGATCATTCAACTATTATCATAATGTCATATAGTCATTTACTTTTTGGGATAAATAGGGGGAAGATTAAAATTATCAATTTTATGAATATTTAGGGGTTAAATACCAAAAAAATTCAAATATGGGTATCAAGTGTCTCTCTCACAAGGCTGGAGGAGGAAAAAATTAAGAGCCCGTTTGGTAGCACGAAAATCGGCTGTTTTGGCTGATTCTGCTGAAATTTATGAAGTTCTGACTGAAGTGGCTGTTTTGGCTGATTCTGCTGATTCAAGAAAAAAATATTTTAAAAATATATTTTATTAATAAATTAAAGAAAAAATTACATGTAAAAATAGCTAAAATGGTCCTCTGCAGTAACTTCAGCCAATACAGCCAGAAAAGTAACTCCAACCTTACTTTTTATGCTTATTACACAATTCAGCACACGAAAGTAAAATTTACGTGTTTGGTGAAAAAGCTGGATGATAAGCCTGATAAGTCGAAAAAAGTGGTCTCCAAACGGGCTCTAAACACAATTGCTAAAAGTGTCATATCAAATATAATAATCCAAAGATTAAAATTGATAAAAAAAATCGTTTTGGAAACAAATCACACAAAGTCCATAACTGGTCCGGCAACTTATGTGCACTTTTTTTACCTTTGCACAGTTTTTGTTCTTTTCTTCTCAGAATGTAGTACCCTTCTTATCTTTGATGATGCCTTGCACATTACCTGGTATGACTAACCAATCATCTTTTCTTAGATTAAAGATGTAATAATACTAAGGATAACAATATTAATCCTAATTAAAAGAAAAGGCTAGAAATAGAGAGAGAAGTTAGTTTTCCTTTCATTAAAAGATATTCCACCTCAGAGAACTAAAACTCTAACTCAAAACAAATCCCAACCACTTAACCAACTTTCAACTATAAAATGCTCTTCCCACTTTCTTTCTGTTACATCACTAAACAAAATTAACTGCCCACTTTCATCCACACCCCATTAATGGGCTCCTTCTTCTTCTCCTCCTCTGAAATGCCATTAAGATTCCAGGTAAAACACACACAAAGATCTAGTCAGATTTTGTATTGTATGAAACTATGAATACTAATGAATATTTTGGTTTATACTGAGTTCTAAGATTTTGTATTAGACTACTATAAAAGGGTAAGGACCAGCTCAGGTCATAAATTTTGATTTATTGCTTACCGGTGTGGGATAAATACTTCAAACAATGGTCTTAAAACATGTTGCAGATGTTGAGGACTGTGATGATAGTTTTGTTATTGGGAGTGTCTTTGAGGACAGGAGTGGTTGAGGGGATAAGGACTAAGCAGGGAAGGATAGCTGTTGAAGGAGAAGAAGGAGACAGAAAAGGAGGTTCATATTTAGCCATAAACTGCAGGGGTAAGAGCGCGTCAATTACGGAGTTCGGGGGGGTCGGAGATGGCAAAACACTGAACACGAAGGCGTTCCAGGACGCAGTGAATGAGTTGAGCCAATATGGATCACAGGGTGGAGCTTTGCTCTTTGTCCCTGCTGGTCAATGGTTGACCGGCTCCTTCAATCTCACCAGCCATTTCACTCTTTTTCTGGACAGGGATGCTGTTCTTCTTGCTTCTCAGGTACTCACTGCAGTGAACTTGAATACATGTTGAAGAAGAGTCCTACATTGACATGGATGAATGTCACACAAATTTCACCTTAAACCAGAGGCAACTTTGTTCTTAATACTCCTTCCCAAAATCATTGCCCACTTTGACAGTTTACAAATTTTAAGAAATTGAAATCTGGGATTTTTAAGAAAGAGAGTATATATTGTAAGCCATGTATTGTTTCCTTAAAAAATGTGATTTTTCGTGCTATAGGTGAAAAAAGAAATATGTATGAATGAATAAATTTAGAAAGAATGACTAAATAGAAGTGTATCAGACCAGACCATAACTCTCTCCACACCAACCTTTCAACTATCCCTGCCCGCTACAAACCGCCTGATTTCCGGGGGAAATCGCTTGAAATGTTTCGGGAAGTTGGCGCAAGTTGCAGGTGGGCGGTGTCACGAAATATTTAAAAGTTTGTTACATTTTATGTGGATGAGAGTGTTATTTTAGTAATATCTCGAGCGAAAGCCCAATAATTAGAACGCATAGGGCATTAGGGCGTATAGGTTATCTGAATTGCTCTTGAAAAATATTTGGACAATCATCAACTCTCTTGGGAGATCTTTTGGGAGTTAAGTAACCAAATAGTGAATTACAACTGGGGGGGTAAATAATAAGCACATTTGATTCAGGACATAAGCACATGGCCATTGGTGGACCCCTTACCATCATATGGTCGTGGAAGGGATGCAAATGGTGGAAGGTATGGCAGTCTCATTTTTGGCTCAAACCTCACTGATGTTGTTATCACAGGTAAAAAAAATTACTATAACTTTTTATAGCTATCCTTTTATCTCTTATATTGTAACACCCTTCATGTAAAATCAAAATGGGGAAACAAATCGGTGGGCTCAACTGGTAGCGAGGGAGTGCCACAAGGGTTAGGTCCCGGGTTCGAATCCCGGCAACTGCGATGAAGGGTTACTATGCCAAAATGCATAGGGGCAAGTAATTGGTACATAGTCCCACTCTCTATCTGTGAGATTGAGATTATAGTCCAGTTTACCTCCTCCCAACGTACCGTCCGGTCGAAGTTGGGAGCCCTCACGGATGGGTGTCATCCTTTTTTTTAAATGGGGAAACAATTATCATTTCTCAGGGAATAATGGGACAATAGATGGACAAGGGCAAGTTTGGTGGCAGCAGTTTCACAAGCAAAAGCTAAAATATACAAGGCCCTATCTCATTGAAATCATGCACTCTGATGAAGTTCAAATCTCCAATTTGACCCTGGTTAATTCCCCTTCATGGAATGTCCATCCTGTTTACAGCAGGTAATTTCAACAACTCCCCTAGTTTGTTTATTTTTGTAAGTGTGCTCCAACCGTTTATAAATTCATTCCAAAATATTGGGTGAAATCACATTTACCAGTAAAATCTTGTATTTTCACCTCTCAGTAATGTAATTATTCAAGGCCTCACTATCCTGGCACCAGTAACATCTCCAAATACTGATGGAATTAACCCAGGTTCATTTCTTCATATTTTGTCTATTTATTTTATTTATGAAAAATTAAACAATATACTTGTCATATTATTATTAAGAACATGTTCAGTTGGACTTACACTTCCACGACCTAAACCAGATTCAACATACTGCGATACCGGACTAGATCAAATTTGATCAAACCGGACAAACAAACACTAAAAAAAAATAGAATGCATATAATATCAAACCAAACCAAACCGAACTTGAAAAGACTAAACCAGATTAGACCTATTCAAACCATCTCAGTCCAAATGAACACGTCTTGATACATATAACATTGTATTCACATGGGTTGGTTTCAGATTCATGCTCAAATGTGAGAATTGAGGACAACTACATAGTATCCGGGGACGACTGCGTGGCTGTTAAAAGTGGTTGGGATGAATATGGTATACAGTATGGTATGCCGACGAGGCAGTTGATCATCAAACGTCTAACATGCATCTCACCTTACAGCGCAGCGATAGCACTGGGGAGCGAAATGTCAGGCGGGATTCAAGACGTGAGGGCCTCGGACATCACAGCCTTCAACACAGAGTCTAGCGTGAGGATTAAGACAGGCGTCGGCCGAGGTGGCTACGTCAAGAACATATATGTCAAAGGGATGACACTTCAAACTATGAAAATGGTGTTTTGGATGACCGGGAACTACGGGTCCCATCCGGATAACAAATACGACCCGAATGCAATCTCGAACATCACAGGGATCAACTACATGGATGTGGTGGCGGATGACGTGAAGATGACTGCCAGGCTGGAGGGCATATCCGGTCACCCCTTCACCGGAATATGCATGTCCAATGTGACAATTGGGTTGGCACAGAAGGCCAAGAAGAATCAGTGGACTTGTACTGATATCCAGGGGATTACTAGTGGGGTTGTTCCAAAACCCTGTGAATCACTGCCTGATCAAACCCCACCAAATTCCAATGGAATGTGTGATTTTCCTTCAGAAAATCTTGAAATTGAAAAGATAGAGCTCCAGAAATGTTCTTACGGAACAAATTACTAAAAATGAGATTCCTCTGAGGCTCAGAAAATCTATCTATATATATGTGTATCAAAATCCACAATGAAATGAAATATTTGCAACTGGGGCTTTATTAAGTTCAGAATACAAAAGGAAAGTAAGTAGCAAGAGAACAATAGAAGCACTAACATGACATAATGATCTATATCTACAAATCATACTTATCATGAGAAAGTTGGATCTGGATTGAATTTTACAGATTCCATCCAGATGAGCTCCTTAATATTTTCTTCCGTGAAGGATGGCTGCTCAAAGTCGAAACTGAAAGGCATTGGGCAAACGGGCTCCTCATTAATATCGTGAAGCGGTGACAAGTATGGATGACAGAGTGCCTCATCAACTGTAACAAAAAAAAATAAAAGTAGGTAAATAGTACGTAGTAAGAAATTAAAAGCTAGCAACATATCCAGAAGTATTAGATCAAGAATGGCATCCATTCAAATATCTCAAATAATATGTTCAGCGCCTCAGCCACCATGTTGTCTCTTTTAATTCAATTGCATGGCGTACTGTTATGTACTGGGATTCTTTGCATTATAAGGATAAATTAAAAAAAAAAAAGATAAAAAGAAAGGGGCAGTGGGTATTTGGGGATTTTTCCTTCTTGATTTCTTCTTAACTTTCGTTGGATATGTTATTAGCATAACAAAGTTCCCTTTTATAAAAGGGAGTACATGCATGGCAATGCCTAAAACAAGGAAAGAGAAATCCTAGCAAATCACTTCCAAAAACAGATTAGCTAATGAAGATAATAAATACTACGTATCAAATTAGAATAAAACCAAATCAATCAGCAATTACTCCACATTCTTCTACTTATTGCCTTTTTATCTTTCCATTATATTATATCGTGCAATGCATCATTACACCCCTCCGGGAAAATCAAGCTTGCCCTTAAGCTTGCAAACTTTAACCTGGGGTTGAAAGACTCAACCAATGAAAACTGCCATTCATATTCCTGATAGAGACTCACAGTTCGTTGTATAGGTGACCTAAACCAAAGGTGAGCAAAATTCAAACTGGGAGGGCTTTAGGGGACTATGGATTTGAGAAGTCCAAATATGTTCTTTTGAGAAGATTGTTGAGCGGCGCAGTCTGCATTGTCCCGTTTGCTGTTGCTGTGTCGCAGACATCTTAGGCACTGTGAGTTTTAGTGGTAAAGAAGGGGGCCTTGGCAAATGAAGTGTCTACTGATAGGGGTGCTTTTATGTCTGCCAGTAATTCTTTGGATCGGGATAAATGGTCAAGCAAGGGAAAAAGTGTTTCAAATGACTCTTTCAATGGCTACAGTGCTAGTTGCATATTCTGCACTACATTTTGCAGCTTGTGATAGTGTCGTTCGCTTGTCAACTTGCACAACTCCTTCGGCATCTATGAGAGGAGGGTGTACTGATAATTGGAAAGTGGAATTTCCCATGACACCGGCAACGGAACCAAAATGGTTATGCACAGGATTCTTTGTGTAACAGGGATTAATAAAAATATGATAAACGAAAGGGGGTGAAAATTTGGAGGGTTTTTCTGGGATATCTTATAGGATAACAGATATCCCTTTTATCATAGGGAGTACATGCATGAAAATGGCTAAAACAGCGAAAGGAAAATCTTAGCAAATCATTTCCTAAATAAATTAACTGATGAAGGTAATAAAATCTTCTTTTTTATTTAGGTAATAAAATCAAATTAGAATAAAACCAATCAAGCAAATCAATCAGCAATTATTCCTAATTCTTCTACATGATTTCCCATTTATGTTACCATAATTTATACCATAGCATAAATCAAGTACATTGAGTAAATTCCACAATGTTGTTAAAATTGTCTTAACTCATTCTTCTATTTAAAAAACTGTTTTTATGGCTTTTACTAAATGAAAATTAAATTTATTAACACTTGGCGAAAATGAAAAATCAAAACATTGCAATTAAAATAGAAATGAAGTATGCTAAAAGCTGCATAGCATACCTGTAATACGGCGACTAGGATCAAAGACAAGCATTTTATCAAGCAAATCAACTGCTCCGGGAGACGAATCGGGGAACCTTGTAGAAAATTGATGCCTTGAATACTGTGGAAGTTGTCTAACATATCGGCGGGCATTATCACTACGCAGAAATCCAAGGCTAGCATCATCCGGAGATCCAATCAGCTATTTGAAATAGAATAAGAGGAAAAGTGTAACTAACACTAGAACAAGCTATTCATATGTATATCATGTAAACATCATCTAAAACATTTATCATATTAAGTTACTTCATATCGACCAAATTTAAAGACACAATTCATACATAAAAACTCTGAGCTAGTTAATCTAATGGACAATAAGCTTTAATATGATATCAGATCCAATTAAGTCTAAACTGAGATACAAAAGGACAGATTTCAAGATTCGTCTATTTTGCCAGGCAAGTTAAGTCATTTTGGCAAAACAATATTCAAGATTTAACCCTGAGTCATAAGAATACAAATACAGCAACAAACAACAACAACATCCAAGTCTTAGTCTCAAAAGATTTGAGGTCGTTTAACACGAACCGATAAATGATATCAGAGCCAAAAGGAAAAGAAAAATAAGAAAGATGAAAAGATGAGGTATGATAAAAAAGATACGATAAAGATAAATATAAGATAGAGATAAAAATGATTTAAAAAGTTCCCATAACTGATGGAAGAACTTTTTAAAGTTATACCTCTGTGATAAGTCTTAACTGATGAACATAATCTTTGCCAGGGAAGAGGGGCTGTCTTGTCAGGACTTCACCAAGTATGCAACCTACTGACCAAATATCAATGGCAGCCGTGTACTCTGAGCAATTCAAGAGCAGTTCTGGTGCACGATACCATCGAGTTACAACATATTCAGTCATGAAGTCTGTCTCAGATGTCGTTCTAGCAAGACCAAAATCCCCAAGCTTCAGGTCACAATTAGCATTGAGAAACAGATTGCTAGGTTTCAGATCCCGGTGCAACACATTTGCAGAATGTATATACCTAAGCCCGCGCAATATTTGATAAAGGAAGTACTGAGACAACAACAACCACAAAGGAGAATTCAATAGTCAAGATGCCATATAAACTCATGCTACAGAAAAATAAATTCCAAAAAATGAAAACTGCCCAAGGAGAGGCCAATTTGTAAAGTTCATGATTTGTATACTGGACATTAAGTTTATAAATTAGTGACAATTTGGAGCAAAACCCCAAGGGTTGTATAACTATGTATAAGAGTGTATATACAAGGAAGTTGAGAAGGATCATCTCTAAAAAACTACTCCTAGAATCTAAACTCTAAAGTATGAAATTGAACAAGATGGTTCTTCATAGAGCTTTTTCCACTTTTAGTCCTTTTAATATTGTACAAATGATACTTTTGGTATCTGTTTTTTATTAATCTTTCACTTGTATTGATGACTTGTGTGACGTACACTCTTTTGGTACTCACCTTTTAAAATTTTCTATTTATATGTTATTGCGAAAAGAAGGGGAGCCTTGGCGCACCGGTTAAGGTGTTGTGTGTCAGGGGTTCAAGTCTTAAGAGTGTCCTCTTGTCAAAAAATTAACAGGGGAAGGTTTGCCCCTTAGGGTGGGACCCTTTCCTGGTGCCTTGCGGGGATGCCTTCGTGCACCAGGCTGCCCTTCTTTATAGTTATTGCAACAAAAATGACTTGATCTTGATATTCAGAGAACTAAATGTGAAAACTTAAAAATCAGGCTCCAAGTGTGACATTGTCTCAAATCTCAATAGACATTCTGCTAAAGGGGTGTTTGGAATTGATTTTGCTTCTGCTTCTTTTTTAAAAGCAGGAGTAAAATCAGAATCAATTTTCAAGAGCTAGTCTCCCCCATCTTCTAAAAACTGCTTCTAAAAACAGTACTTCTGTACTTTTACCCAAACACTCAAATATCTTCTTTCGCTCTTTGAAGAACTAGAATCAGTTTTAAGAAGTAGATCCAAACACCCCCTAAGAGTGGGAAAAACCTCTACAATAGATCATGTAAGAAACCCATATTTGCTACTCCTAGATATATCTCACTTGATAGGGAAAAAAGAATGAAGTTATATAAAAGTTGGGTCATACCCGACAGTGATCATCAGCCAAAGGCTGGCTGGAGCGAATAATCTGGTTAAGATCAGTATCCATTAGTTCATAAACAATGTAGACATCATTGAAGTTTTCCTTCTGAGGAGGCCTTATGATGTCTTTAATAACAATCACCTAAAGATGAAGAACAAAAAAAATACCATATCAAGTACACTGGGGTGGGGGATGCACAAATGCAACCACATCATAAAAAATCAAAGATGAAAGCTTTGGAGCACGTACATTATCATGATCCATGTGGCTGAGAAGCTTTATCTCCCGGAGTGTCCTTTTGGCATCTATCCTATTGTCAAATGCATTCCCAATCTTCTTTATAGCAACTTCCTCATTTGTCTCTGAGTTCATTGCCGCACTGCATAAAAATGAAAAAGCATACCATATATCATTAGACCTTGTTCGGATAGACACTCAATTCGGGTTGTGGGGTGAAATTCACTTCATCTCAAGCATCTTTTATGTTATCTTATCCCAGGTCAATGTCATAGTTTCACTCAATCCTCTGCAATTTAATAGTTCAAGGCAACTCAATTCCATTCACCAAAACAATCCAATTACGAAATGTATGCAACAACAGGCAGTGAACACTGAAAACAAAAATCAATTTTTATGACACCATATATAATAGAATTTTTAACTCCATGAAACAACACATGGAAGAAAAAAAAGTACAAGCTAAGATAGCCATACAAATGCAGAAAAGATTTGGAAAAAGATTTCATCTTTTTAATTAAAAGAAACAAGTTTCTTCCTAATCTTCTCACCAGACGATGCCATAAGCGCCACGTCCCACCGGCCTGGTGGGCACATACTTTCTTGAGACTTCGAAAAGGTTTCCATAGATATTGTACTGCACATATCGCCCGCCGTGAGTAGGCACTCCTCTGAAGTTTGAACGAGCACCATGATCAGCTACAACGGCGCTCGAGTCCACAGACATTTCAAACAACAACTTCCGCCGGATCCGTGAATGAAATCCGAGGATGCTGCCGCAAGTTCCGGGGCCGTGTTTCTCTGTCGGTGGCGTAGCGCGGAGGGCAAAAGAGACCAAGATGATGATGAGCTTTCTTTTTGGTAAAAGACGATGAGCTTCTTTTATTATTGGCTCTTTCTTGTTTTTTACTGCCTTCTTACTCGGGGCATGGTTTTTTGCAGAGAAAGAGAGCCGTGGGATCGCGGAAGGGGCTAACGCTGGTCATCCTCGTACGTCACGCGTGAAGCAACTTTGACTTTCCTGACGTGGAATTCCATTCTTTTCTCTTTCACATTTTGGGTACGAATGCGCGTGCGATTATCAAACTCTTCCACCATTTTTCTCTGCTCTCCCCACTTTCCTCGTACGAAAAAACTTCTCACATTCTAAAAACATGGCAACTTTCTTATTTTAGTTTTTTTGAGCCATACCCTGATTAGTGTGGATGTTCATATACATATGTATAGCTTGTTCTTGGAGATATTTATTTTATATATTTTGAGTGTCTATGTACATATATAAATTTTTGTACTTGCACACATATACATATATTTTTATATCACTAATTGAAAATTTTGAGTGTTCATATCAACACATTTGATCTAGCACAGGTCCTCCATGCAGCTGATACCTTAAATCAGTTTGATATATACCTTACTAAAATTTGGGATTCCAAGCTCACAAAAGAAATTGAAATTCCAAGAGAATCGTCAATCAGATACTAGAGGTATCTTCGCACTCGTTATACCACCCCGAATCCGCGATTAATGCAATGTAAAATTAAACACAACCATCGTATAATATACTCAATTAATATACTCACTTAAAGTCACATATTTACTCTATTTTTAGTCTTTATTTTCAATCTAATCTAATCCTTCCATAAAATATAAGATTTTTTTAGATATGGTAGACAAATAAAGACATTTCTCTATGAAAAAGTAGTACATTTGTAATTCCCAAAATTAAAAGTAGAACGAAAAAGAGAATAAAAAGAACAATACAGCTTTTGCATTTTGGATATGTCATAGCTGTGTTTTAAATTACTTGCACCCTCAAAGGGGTTGAGCCATGTGTAGTTGTACACCAAACTCAATGTCACATTATTGCAGTACTCTTGAAGGGATTAAAGTAGCTAAAAGATGACTTTAAAGCTTGTTATCTTTTAATACTTCCTCCGTCCCAGAAAATTCTTCCCAATTTGACTTGGCCCGGAGATTAAAAAAGTGGAATAAAGTGAAAATGTGTGGTTGTAGTTGTGTAAGAAAAAAGTGAAATGAATGTGATCGAACCACATAAATTGTCCAAAAATGGTAAGTGGGAAAAATTTTTTGGCACAGCCCAAAAACGAAACTGAGAAGAATTTTATGGGACGGTCCAAAAAGGAAAGTGAGAATAATTTTATGGGACGGAGGGAGTAATTGAAAAGTTCTTAAAAAAATATTTTAGTTTTTTAAAACCTGAACGGATGATACAATACTGTTTTATGAAAGCAAATTTAGATTTATGAAAGTATGAAACAGCTCTTAGAACGTATTGTGTCAATTGTCAAATACTACATCTATAAGCATATGCTAAGAGATTAGCTCCTAAAAGGTGTGTTATATATCACGGATTCACGGTTCGATCCCCAAAATGCATACCCCGAGCCGATAACCCCAAGGCCGGTCCTGAAGGGGGCAACAGGGGCGACCGCCCTAGGTCCAAAAATATAGAGAGAAAAATATGTCCAAAATTTTTCTGCATATATAATGTTAGTAGGCTTCTTTTTTATTTTTAAGTTCAATTAATTAGGCCTAACGTCTAATTTTTGTTGACAATTTGTAAAAATAGAACCTAAGTAAAATGTCTTAAACGAAGTCATGCTTAAAAAGAATATACTAGTACTTTAATTTTAAGTAGGACTGATTGTAGTTTTCAAAACAACGTAATTATTGCTGAATCAATAAAAGACATGACTTTTCATTCTTAATATCTCTTTAGTTTCTAATGCTTTTTATTTCTTATAAGCGATTATTATTGATGATTTTACTTCGCTTTGTTTCGCGAAAAACATTTTAAGTATATTTTTCTTTTTATGTAATACTTTATACTTGTATTGTTACTTTTACCGAAATATGTAATTTAAATAATAGTAAAGTGACTTTTGCCTTTATTTATGACCTTTATTAGATATAGAGTATTTTAGTTAAAATTCATATTTTAAATATGTATAGTGTAACGATATAAAAAATAAAATATACATAGTGTACAATTTTTCTTGAGTGTAAGCCCAATATACTATATCGCCCATGGGCGCAAAAATGGACATGACCCATCCTTAGGGTAGACTCTTCCCGGTAGCTGCTTTTTAGGGAATCCAATAATAGGAGTGGGGGTCTGGTTCTGTGTCAATTTCGCCCATTCTAGCAAGTAATCTTAATCGCAAGTAGGAAACGATTTTTAATCCAATTGATTTACTCCGTAAATGTTTTGCTTAAAGGTAAAATTCTTTTTCGTTTTGTCAAACAGGTTTCAATGAGAACTAAACCCGAGACTGTAGGCTAGTGATGGACTCGGGCCGGGTGGCCCGACCCGGAACCGGGCCGGACCGGTACTGTTCCGGCCCGGCCCGACCCGGTGGCCCGGTCAGTGACCGGTCCGGGTAGGCCCGGCCCGTGGGTTTTCCGGTCCGGGCTCGGGTCACCCAAAACAAGGCCCGGTTCGGGCCAAAAACTTTTTTTTTTCAATTTTTTTTAAATTTTTTGGTTGGACTGGGTATTTTGGGCCATTTGGGGTGGTTTGGGGGTTGGGGGTGGGAGGGGGGTTAATTAGGAAGAGGAAAACAAACAAAAAAAAATTATAATGGGCCCGGCCCGGACCCGGTGGTTACCCGGGCCGGTCCCGGGTCCACCATTTCTGACCCGCCGGCCCGCCCGGGCCTAGGCCCGACTCGGCCCCGGCCCGGACCAGAGTCCATCACTACTGTAGGCTATAAAACTCACACACTCAAGTACCCAATTAAGCGGGCCTTAAGTGCCAAAAAGATGAAATAAAACTTGCCCAAAGTAGGTATAGACATATATTATTGCAATAATTACAAACATTTTAGAATGCCTAATATGCCCATTAGGTAACAATGTAATCGCCTTCAGCCCAAGAGGCACCTACCCAAGAATATCTTCCCATTTGTGTGAAGTAGGAGCTGAATTGGCATCCTAAGGGAGTAAGGGCATAACATTGCCCTTACCGCCTTCCTCTGTTCAGTTCCTCCAAGCAATAGTGCGAAATGGAATTCAGTCTGATCACAGCCAAGTCCACAACCGCTTTGAGGAGACTGCCGGGACGGATTTCACGGCTGCATCACTGTTCCTCTTTTCCTTCTGCGGAACTGCGGAAGCAACGGTTGGATGACCTATTTCGACGAGTGATATGGTTGTAAGGGTAATTTAGATATTTCAATCAATTTTATTTTTGATATTTAATGTAATGGCGGTGAATAGAATTTTTCAAAGTCTAAGTAAACTTTTCATGGATATTAGAACATACTCCATACTTGATTAATGATTGATAGACCACAACTCACAGCTTTTTATCACAAACATTGCTCTACACATTTTGGCAATTAAGTAGAGGTTGAACGCCACATAAGGAACCGTATTACATCAAATCCACCCCACACACACACTTAGGCAGCCCCTTTGTATACACAAGAAGAAGACCCATGCTCCCGGTAGCTACCTATTCTTGACATCACAATTTGCCCCTCTATACAGCTTCTCCTCTTTTTTTGATTTAGATACCTTATGGCTACCAACTCTAATGTTAGAAAGCATTGCATCACGTGCCGTCAGAACAATCCTAAAGAATCCGTCGACTTCCTTCCCCAACAGATCAAGCCCTTCGCAGAGCTTATCAGCATTCTGTCTTAACTCCGAAGTTGCATTTGACAATAATATTAATAATTCTCCTTCAACTTTGTCAGACTCAACAATGGCGTATAGCTTATTCACACTTGCATCAACATCTTCAACCTCCTTCAGTCTGGTCACACCTCCACCACCCTCTATTTCTTCGTTCACAGAACTCTGAAGGTCAGCAAAGGCATCTGCCCAAAAACAACCCTCAAGCGCCTCAAAATTCTTCTTCAACTTCCCTCCAGCAGAACCAGAGAAGGCAGTGGCAAACACACTGCAGAAAAAAATGGTCACCACCCGGACACCATACAAAGCTTTCATCAAAACTCTCTCTTTCCCAGAATCTTTCTTATTAGGGAACTTCAGGCTCTCGATGAGACGGTTCAAAATCATAGGGCAATTCTCAATCCGTGGGTTTTCGGAACCCAGTCGGCTCCTCCATCCATCCAAAGACGACCTCGCTCGTGCATGGAACTGCTTCGGTTCGCTGTCTAGGGTATGCACGGTGCACCGGAGGTAAAGGTTGCCTTGGTTAAGCCTCAAAATCTCAGAGCTGAAAGCAGTGCATATATCAAGCAAGCTCACGCTGTTGTCCATGTAGACATCAAGCCACTTCTCATCCCAACCACACACTGGAAGGTCAAGTTCTTTGACCAGGGTTTGGACACTAGTGTGTATTGCAGCAAGTGAAGCCATAGCTTCTTTCATCCATGAGAAACTCAGGGCACGAACCCCGCTTCCCGGCTTGAGACTTGTGAGTTTCTCAGCCAATGATTTCTCGAAAGCATTCAAAAGAGAGAGGAGCCTAGGGGATAGGTGTGATGAGCCTTTAGGTAGTATCACTGAAAAGGGATTTTTGAAGTGCAAATGAGGGCGCTGAGAATCTTGTGAGCGAATCATTTTATAGTGTACTGCAAAAAAATTGAGACACCACGAACGATGATCAAATTTTCCATTACTTATGTACATTTTTCAGGCATTATGGACTATAATCACTATATATTAAAGACATATCATAACGTACTATAAGAGTGGGTTATTAAATTCAACAAGAATCAAATCAGGTACACCGTACACGACTATAGGAAAAGATTACGTGAAAGGTTTGGAGAATGATGAGCAAGAAAAGATGACTCAATATGACTAAAAATAGCACTTTCTCCAAGTAAGACTAACATGTTCTTATTACTAAATAAATATCTATTTAGACCTAGATAAAGAAGATTAGCATATTTTTATTCTTGACATGGTATATATTTAGACAAACAAAAAGTATTACAAAATTTACAAGTCATCATTGGGAAAACCTATAATGTTTTAGCCACAACCGTGGTGAATTTTCAGGAAAATAAACAAATTACTCCAAATATGATTAAAACATACAGTAGCTACTTTTACTAAATAAGACTGACAAAGTAAAAAAACATGTTTTTAATCCTGAACAATAATATTTATTTGGTCCTAGATAAGAAGACTAACAAAGTAACAAGTTTTTAGTCCGAATACCCTTTAAGCAATGGTGTTGGAAATACCATTACTCTTTTTCTGGAAGGGTTCCGGCAGTCCCTGAACCTTTCACAGAGCCTTCCCCCGACCCATAGCCTTGCTCATCCAACAATCGCAGGTAACTCTGGAGTTGGTGTGTAAAGCAAAGTTATATAGAGGACAACATTTGACCAACAAAAGGCTAGATCGTATAACAAATTAATAGTCCAGAAACCTAAAGTTGCATTCTTTATTCGTATGCCCCTGCCTTAGTTTCTTGCAAAATCCCTTAAATGATATCCAACTAGATGCTAATAAGCGGAGTATAGACTGGATTAGGCGGGTAAACTAGGGAAGAAATAAGAAGCTCAAAAAACACGATTCTAGGAAGAGGACAAGCATAATAATTACATAAAAATGTTCATCCTTCCTGAGAAAATCTACTATGTCCATGTTGCTATATGACTTTCTAACTAGTCCCTTTTAACACTGTACTTTTAAGCATCTGGACATTTAATTTGAACAAACCAATAACAGAAACAGGAATAATCACAATCAATAATCAATAATCAATAACTATCTTAAAAGAAGTAACCCCAGACATAAATTAAGATGTAAACCCATCATCATCTACCAAAAAATCTACCATTTCTAATCATAAGAAATTCAAGATCTGGATCCAAAACAACCCGAAACATACATAAAAAAGATCACCGGATCTTGAATCGGGAACTGATTGACAGGGTCAACGCACTCGATACTGGACGATCTAGATCGAGGTCTGCAGATTGTCAAACACAAGGCTTTACATAAGCAGACAGATTCAATAAAATCACTTATTAAAAAAGAGTAAATCATATGTATAGAGATATAGAGGGAGAAAGATCCGTACGGAAGGACTGGGGATGTAGAGAGAGATAGAGAGGGGAATCGCGGTAGGAGAAGATTGCACGCACACGCGTCTGAGACGAAAGTTGGGATGAAGTCACGGGGCTCTCGAGCTTTCTACTATGGCGTGTTTGGTCTGTCCCTGACGATAAGCCATTCTAACCGTCGGATTGCCAAGTTGGGGCCATCCGCTGCCGTTGGATCATTTTGCCATTAAAAGAAATTGCTTTATGTCAACCTCACTGGTGAGATGGTGGTGGTGGCTTTCCTAATAGTTTGCCTTTGCATTTAATGCGACATTAGCTGGCCTAATAAAAAGCACGGAATTCTTTAAATGATCAACCATTCTTGATGTACACACCCTTGTACACACCTTATACACATCATGTTTGTGAAGCTTTTTTTTTGTCTGTGAATCCGGTTCACAGACAATATTTTGTTTGTGCAAAATATTGTCCGTGAATCAATGTTCACAGACAAAATAAAAAGCTTTCACAGACATAGGTGTGTACAAAAGTGTGTATAAGAGTGTGTACAAACATCATTTTTGTTAAATGATAGACTTTCTTTTTTATCAAAAATGATGTTTGTACACACTCTTATACACACTTTTGTACACACCTATGTCTGTGAAAACTTTTGTTTTTGTCTGTGAACATCGATTCACAGACAATGTTTTGCACAAACAAAATATTGTCTATAAACCGGATTCACAAACAAAAAAAAAGCTTCACAAACATAGTGTGTACAAGGGTGTGTACATCAAGAATGGTTGCTTTTTTTATTCTAAAATGATAGAATTCTTAGAAATAAGAATAATTGATACCATTATCAATTATCATACGAGAGCCGTGCTCTAAAAGGCGATAAAGGGCGGGGCTTAACATAGTAAAAATTAGTTTTTCTTCCTCACATGATTAATTCTTATTTTGACTTCAAACATGGATTAAAAAGTGGAATTGGGTGGTCTAAAGTTGCTTAGAGAAAATAAAAATATATGGATCATGAATTTTTCTTTGCCAAAAAGGAATGAAAAACTTTATATACGAACAATGATATGTTTCAAATTGTAATTAAAGAGCTCGCAAGAGACATCTCTCTACCATTTTAGAAATTTGAAAAATTAAATTTTATTACGATAGTATGAGTTTTTTATCCGTTATTTGAGTAAGATAAGTTGAGTTAGCATGGATAGGTGAAAGAAATCTCACGTTGTATAAGACATGTAGATCTATCTCGCGAATGATAATTTTTGAAATCTCAAAACCGATGCATGTTAATATATAATTTTTTATCTAAGGTGTGGATTTTATCTTTGACATGTTCTATTTTCATACAAAATATATTTAATATATAATCACACATAACGTCAACACACATTATAAAAGCAGTTACATTTATAATTAAGCTTCCAAGTTACACTTATATAAACAAAACAGTATTTTTAAATTGCGAGTGTGTCTATAATTTTACGGCTAAAGGGTCAAATAGGTCTCTCGACAAGTCCAAAATGCCCAGCTTGCCATTTAAATTAAAAAAGGTTTTAATCAGCGCCTTAATCTCGAGGATCACTTTTTACAGGTAACAGTCTTGTCGATCACTGACGCGTCACCCTGGCAAGATGTCAAGTGCGCATATGACGTGACAATTTAAGGGGCCATGAACTCGAGTGAGTTGTTTAATTCGTTCTCTCAATTGTTAAAAGTATCAAAAGTACGAAAAAATAGAAAATAAAAAATACATTTATAAAATAAAATAAAAGTTGAAAATATAAAATATAAATATGAAATATTTATATTATGATGTAAATTCAAATTAAAAATAAAATATAAACTAAAAGTGATTCTTTAACTTTATTTCCAAATCTTATAATTATATTTTATATAAAAATGTGACAGTTATGTACATACTAACATACATACACATATATGTGTACATGGTGCATCCAGACTCACACATATATTACGTATATATTCCGTATTACATTACTCCCTTTGTTCCATTTTATCAATCTTACTTTTTGTTTAGGATTGTCACAACATATGTGCCACATTTCAATTTTTGGAATGAAATATGTGATCCACAATACTTTACTTTATTATACATAAATATCAACCACAACTTTTATTTATTGAACCACATTTTTAATTTGTGTCAAACCAAAAGAAGACACATCAAATGGAGCGAAAGTAGTAACTTACTTTATTGATAATTACTTTATTGATGGTACAAATAACTCGTGTGAGTTATATCCGTCACACAAACCGTATTTTAGTAAACTCTTTTTGTCCATTAACCTAATCGTAATCTTCTAGCTACTTCAATAAATCAAATTCTCCATCGATTAATAGATATTCACTTAGGGCATCCTCATCCATGAGTTTATTTGAAGATCAATTGGATGATGTGTAAGATTATTTTTGAGATTATCATTGTGAGTGAGAGATTATTTAGTGAGATTATTGAAAAAGAAAATTATGTATCAAGATTCCAATCCCAGATTATTTTTGATTATAGTTAAATTACATTTAATGGCATGTCCGGAAAAAACTGATTATTTGAGTATTATTGTTGATGAAGAGTTTTAAACTTTGAGATTATTTAAAATTTATTGAATAAATGTGATGTGGCAATGATGTGTAATAAAAAAATCATTTATTTAGAGAGCATGAATGGAGATGCTCTTAGTCACCTTACTTGATTAAGCCATCTAATAAATGAGCTCAAAATATTTTAATCGCTAGATTTTCAGTTTAGCACTTGAATTTATTTTAAATAAATTGAACCTCGAAATCTTTAGTAGTTGATTTTTTTTTTTAACTTTATATAAGCTTCATTGGTGTCATATGAAAGATCATAAAAAATTATGAAATTTGATATATTTTTTGTAAAAATTGGAGAACAAAAAAAAATATTTATAGCTTTTTTTAAGAAAAATGAGAATTACATTTTGGTTGGGCCTCGCATATCTTCTTTACTCCTCGGCTCAACATGTTAATACATACGATCATATGTGTCTTTTGAACTGTTCATTTGAAATTGAAAGGCAAAAGCGGACAACACGTCATAAGACTCATAACTATACAGGAAATCGGGTACCGTTCATTTAGGCGGGAACATTGTTCATTTTTGCAACTCTCTTTTGTATGGAGTATGTAGTAAGATACGTGCAAAAGGTGATCAACCGAAGAGTTGTTCAACAAAAGCGTGAACACCCGTAAACTTAGACATGTCTAGGTGTGAAAAGGCAGAGGAAAATCTAGACTAGATAATGGTACACATACCCCCACTTAGCATAGACTTTGATGACCACACACAGTGGCGGATCCAGAAAGTCGGAGCCACGAGGTCCCTACCCTTATATATCTTTGATCTCTAATTAATGTAAAATTAATAAAAAATAATAAAGAAGCATAACACTTCAAAGTTAACGTACACCATCAAAACATTAAGATATACTCCCTCCGTCCCTTAAAACTTTGCCATCTTTCCTTTTTGGGACGTCCCAAAAAACTTTGCCACTTTCACTTTTAATCAATTATTTTATGGTTTCTGTTATTTCTCTCTCCTCTGCACAAACCTCAACCACACAATTTTTACTTTATTATTTGTCGTGCCAGTCAACTTTAGCAAAATTTTAAGGGACGGAGGTAGTATTATAAAGCAAAAACTTACATATAAAAGTCATTCAACAATTCTATAGATGTACTCTCCTAGGCTTCATTTGTTGGAAATATTCTATAATAGAATCATCACTAATAGTACCAAAAACATCTCTCTCAACATATGTAACTAAGCAATTAATTTAAATAAAATTGAAAATAACATTTATAAATACATGAATTTATTAATTTAATCTAACATTAAAAAATATATGCAAAGAAAAGCAATTAAAAGCAATTTAAACATAGAAATTGAAATTTGAAAACCCTTGTTGGGATATTGATCCAGAGGCCCAATACCCGGATCAAGAAGGCCCAAAATACCGGCCCAAGCAACGGGCTCATCGCTCTATGATAAGTAGATCCAGTGAAGAATCCATGCCGAACGAGATACGGCCCAAATAAGGATTGGCCCAGTAAGAAGATATCCCGAACGGAGATCGGACTATATATCATACTTGGCCCAATTTGACAGCGTCTTCAACATAATCCAACATCCCGTTCGAGCAACGGATAACCGGCAAGTGGCCAGGTGCAATTAATGCTAGATTATGACATCAGCAAGTGGGAACATGGGTGACCAAGTCGGTGGAGCAACAGCCAATCAGCATAGGGCAGCCCATGCTCTCCATTAGTATAAATAGAAGGTTTAAAATCATTGTAAGGGTTAGCATTTCAATACTCAGGCTCTAGAATAGCATCATTGCTCTTATTTCTTGTATTAAAGCATTGTCTCCGACCTACCGATCGAGAAATTCCTTGTAATCAGACTGGTTAGTTAATACAAGTGAGCTTTCGAGTATTAGTGAGTTCATATCTTATATTTTTTATACACTTTGATTCTGTACCATTCCTGATATATTCAAAGTTCGTGTTGGGCTTTCGGATCTACGGGATTTACCCTCAACATCGGCGTCGTCTGTGGGAAACTTACAAAAAGTTTCACATTCAAATCATCCAAAAACCACTATTTTCAAAAATGGTCAGAATCAGTTCCTATCATACAAACGACGGTTCACGCCGTCACGGAAGGAGTCACACCCCGGGGAGTCAAAAACCCTCAGGGACAATCCAGCCGAGGATCGTATCCTCGTTTTGATGGGGATTTTGTGATTCCCGAATCTCTGAGAAGAAATCCTCAGGCCATGCGAGATATGGCCCAGGTCATGCAGCATATGGTCAACGAGGAGGAAGGAGGGTCCAACTTTACAGGGGAGACTCCACGCACGGAAACAACCACAGCGTCATCCCGTTCGCATGCCCATCGGGATAATCGCCGTAGCGCCCCACCAACAGCGCATCATAGTCCCAGCGACCGAACCCCGATCGGATCACAAGCTAGGGGACCGACTCCCATTGGTCATCATTTCCAGTATGCCGAGCGGGATAATACCAGGGCCGCTCAACGGCATTGGGACCAGGACTATGCGAACATGAGGGCTCCACCACCGCCCCCTTTGACGGCCCAGGAGGAAGAGATGGCTGAGATGAGGAGGCAGATGAACGAGATGCGGGATCAAATGAACAGGGTGCCTGTACAACCTGCCCCAGTTCAGCTGGGAATCACTTCCCCTTTCACCAGGGAACTCATGTACGCAGACATCCAGGGGGGTGCCAAGCCACCGACCAGC